GTTGATGAGAGTGCTATCATCTGTGGATTCCTCGGAAATACCGTATTTATTTTTCAATAATTCAAAATACATTTTCCCGTCCTGGAATGAATTCTCGTTGCCGGCGTAATGCACGGTCTTTGACCCGGATGTTTCGGTTGTCTGGTCAGTGGTCATGTAGGTGTAAGCGTCGGTCGGTGTCGACTCCACATCAGGTGCTGAGGTGTGAAGGGTCGTGTCCTCTCCGGCACACAAGCCGACACTGATGCTAAATGCCAAAACTAATGCGGCGATCATCGCCAGTCGTATCTGCACCATAGCCGTCTGTGTAATTATAAAATCGAGGAATCTCGATAAATCGAAGGAAACGCCATCGTTCAACTTAGTTGTACGTGCACAGACAACGATACGTGAACTAAATATTATAATCAAAAATTAATGTTGCTAAATAAATTCCTTAATTCATTTACTTCATATGACTTAATTAACACATTCTTACAAGTACATCACAGTTAAAATTGAACTAACGACCGATTCAATGATCGTGCCACGACGCAACGTGTTAAAGTATTGTGTCAAAATTCAGCGATATCCGCTAAATTGCCATCGTTACACATGCACGCTATTTTATACGCATTCGAGCGAATTCTAAAAGAAATAACTCATGCACCTACCATTTTCAGAATAAGCGACGAGAGACTCTCAGCGAGGCAAGCCCACCACACGTCGGCGAATTTCTTGGAGCCGTATATTATTTTTAATACTACACTGCTACGAACGTGATAATAGTTTTAACGTGAGTAGCAATAATTCATATACTTGCGATTTACGCGCACCTCACAGAGCAGCCTATACCACGTTTACCTGCTCGCACTGTCATCCGATATATAATGTCAATCTAGCTGTGTGCAGCACTTGAAGCGCTCGGTGGTAACTCCTTAGGCGAAACGGCGTTGGCGCAGTTAGTGTTACCTGTCGCCATTATCGGTCAGGTCAGACCATAATGATCGCGGAAGCTTTCGTTAAAGATATACGACAGAAACACGTGTCGTTCGCGCTTCACTGTACTAAGCGCTAGGTCAGTGTCCTTTAACGAACTAGTTTGTAAATAAGTCGGACTGGTGCGACTCATTTCCCACACAAAGTAAGGAATTTAAAGGTCGTCGTTTTCTCCGCAAAACTTCCTGGTGTGAGATGTGAGCAAGATTGTTAATCAATCTAACGACGGTGTCAATTAATGGAACAGGCACCAAACGTTTACTAACGACAGTAGACGTAGCAAAAGTACTTTGATACTAACCTCTCCTAGTTTTCATGGCACTTATTCTACTAGCAATGGATACAATCACGTCTCAGTGTATGTCAATATACAAATAAGTATTTAAATAAATAAATAAATAATTATTCGACATTTATTATTCGCAATGAACACAACTCCTCTTATATTTGTAGATCAAGAGGAGTGCACAGCCGCGTACGTTAATATTTCATATATATAATTTTGATGATTATTTTAGATAATCCCGTTGACCGGAAAATAGCTCGAATAAGCAGCTAGCCTCAGCATGTGGCAATTAACACTACGTGTGGCGATTAGTATGGAAGGCTAAAACTTACCTATTTTAATCGCGCTTAAAATGTATTTTAATCACGCTTAAAATGTATTTTAAGCGTGATTAAATTCCAGCCAATCAGAACAGTGCTTTTTAATCGCGATTAAAATCGATTTTAAGCACGATTAAATTCCCCTCATACTTGTACTTCCGCTAACTCAATGTGAACAAAATAAACATATATAGACATTTTAATCCTGCCTGTTCAGGCTCTGGTGGGACTCCAACTAGCGAGCCACCACACAGCAGAGGCCAGGTAAACCTGAACCTAACCACTGACACACCGAGCTAAGGCGATGATAATATAATCTCACCCCTCATACTTATACTTCCGCTAACTTCATGTGAAAAAATTAAAGGCAGCCAAGGCCAGTGCGAGAAGCCAGCGGCAGTCTAGCTGTCTCCTTCACACTGACCTTGGCTGCCTTCTAGATTGCTCTGAATGTCTCGACTCTTACATGGTACATTTCACGTGATTCGCAGAACATGCTTACAACAAAGGTAATAACTTGTAGGAAACTAAATTACCGCGTATTACATAATGTATATAATATTATCTTGTAATATATCTCATAATAAATGACATGTTTTCAATATATCTTTGAACTTGACTACTGCAGCTCGCTAAGCAACGCACACATCGGACAAACAATAAATATTGCACAACTTCTATATTATTATTAATACGATAAGGTCGCAATTTTGTGCACCTAAAATTCCCCGCGATTTTCGCTTGCGCCGCTTGTCGGCATCGGACCGATAATTCGGTGAGCCGTGTCTCCCCTATTCTATTTGCCGCGGGATTTTAGTCCGGAGGGGATAAATCGGCTTGCGAGAAGGGCCCGTCGACGCTTTGTCAAGCCGTTATTAACTGTCTGTTTTACATTACAAGTTATTATACTTTTCCATTTACTTCTTGGATATTGCGATCATGTTTTGATGATGACTGGATAAATGCTAGATGCCCGTGTTTCATGGGCCGCAAATGGCTAGTTATATAATAATAGTATTAATTATAATAATATATGTAATTATATTATAATAGTAATAATCTGTACGTGATGATTTCTACTTTACGTAATAGTATTATGTACTATTACGTATATGTAATGTTGGTAGTTTGATTGCCTTTGACATGACGCGTTTCGTCTATGTTAAACCGTTACCGATGAAAATACACGAGTATATTATATGTTATTTAACACGCGCACCTGTTCATGGGGAGGGGGGCATCTTACATGTCTCAGGTGTGTTGGGAATAAAGTTGAACGTGAGATTACGTTTTTGGGGAGGGCGTTCGAATTTGGAGACGCCCCCCAACACGCACACTCGCGTGCACACACACGAGAGCGCGCGCGCACACTCGCGTGCACACACACGAGAGCGCGCGCGTACGCACACCGTAGTCCCCCCCCCAAATTACCCTGAGACGGTTTACAGGGTCTATCTTTGAAGATCGGTATACCTGTAGTTTACCAAGCCTTAAACTATCCAAGAAAATAACCTAGAGCAGTGCTTCTTAAACTGGTGAACGGTTCATCCAAGAGTGAATAAAATTATGGGATATCAGACGAGCTAGTGGGATCATAAATTCATAAATGGCAACACTGGAGGATCGCCATAGGCAACTATTGAACTGTAACTTTACTTCGAGTTGCCAATTTAGCTACTTTTCTGATAGAACTAGATTTCTATACATATTTACTGTACTTATTTGTATCAACTTATCAAGCAGCACGAATTCTAGCCATATTGGAGATTTGAGCCCCGTTTCTAGGCAATCTAAAATTAGATTGTGCAAGGGAGAGTAAGACGAAAATTACCAAAAACATGAGGAAATCTAGTCGCCGGGTGAATGCAAATTTTGTACTTTAAATTATTTTTATTTAATTCTAAGCCTATTTATTTGAATTTAATCGCGATTAAAAACCACTGATTGGCTGGAATTTAATCACGCTTAAAATACATTTTAAGCGTGATTAAAAACCACTGTTCTGATTGGCTGGAATTTAATCACGCTTAAAATACATTTTAAGCGTGATTAAAAACCACTGTTCTGATTGGCTGGAATTTAATCGCGCTTAAAATACATTTTAAGCGTGATTAAAAACCACTGTTCTGATTGGCTGGAATTTAATCGCGCTTAAAATACATTTTAAGCGTGATTAAAATACATTTAAAGCGCGATTAAAATAGGTAGGTTTTGGCGGTAATGGCCTTCCATAGATTAGGGGACATCCTCAGGCACTCAAGGAATATAAACGCATATGTATGGAGATTAGCCCAAATTCGCCTTAATAAAAGCTCAGTTAAGTTAGCGTTATTGCCGAAATTCAGTCATTACTTAGCGTGTGAATGTTACAGATCTTACGCACAACATTTATAAAATTTCGGGCACACTCTTTACCGATAGTACAAGTCACATAGCGCCCAGGCTGTAGTTGCGGATAATTATAGTATTTGCTATAATGGACGCCGAAATAGCAAGCAGGGGCTAGAACTGTTTAGGTTCATTTTATTTACCTCTTCGTGTTCGGTTATCATGTAATTTATACTTGTAATACCTATATAATCATATAATTGTATTAAAGTACAGACACGGGGGATTCGTAGAGACTCAGAGCCACACATACAACCATTACAGCCTGTATGATATGACTAAAAACGGCACAAGTGTGCGATACGGCAAGACGGTTATAAATTCGTACGAACATATTAAGCATCGCATAGTTAAGATGACAAGGTTAGACAAATCGTGATGTTAGTACTATTCATGAACAGACGCGTTCGCTGATTTGCAAGCTAAAGGAGTGTATACGTCTACACGTGTTGTACAAGCTGTATGTTTAAACACGGTATATACATACATAAATGCCATTCTTGATATTGCAAACATTTATTTATTGTAAAATAACAAATACGATTGTACAATAACAATTACAACAGCAACGGCAACACACACATTGGGCTCCGCACACACTGCAAATTTGATCTTACATTAAACTAATGGCCAAGACTCAATTTTCGCAGTCTGTACACGTTTTCCGGGAACAAATACGACCTGGCTCGGACTAAGTCAGCCTACATGAGTGAGCCTACCAGACTCGGTTCAATGCGTGCTAAACTGTCCCGCGTACCTGGGCTGAGCCTGGCTATGACTAGTTTGATGTATGATCAAATTTTGCAGTTTGTATGGCACTTAAATAATGATTGCGTGCAATGTCTTCTGGCATTTCATCGATCCTGACCTAGCACTTACGGTAAGTGCACATCACCTCTGCCTAGATTTCAGACAACTAGGAACGACTTGACACTCTTTCAGCACAGGTCATCACCAGATAGAGATATTCGATATCGATATATAGATATCGTCTATTTACACTATTAAATAATGTAAATGTTATCTATTTACAGTCTGGGCGAGAATAATCTGTCAAAAATTTATAAAAGTGATATTAGGATCCACCCAAATATACACTGAATGAACGACAGCATAACTCGCCAGCGCAAATGAAACCCTAGCAGATTATTACCTATATGACCATTCACAGAATCTTACCTCAAGCAATATTCATGCATTAATGAAATGTAACATTTTAGATTTCGCAGAGTGATAAATGAAACGTTTTTGAGCACGTTTGATACTATACTAAATAGGTTCATGGTATCGAGGAGGCAGGGTAATTTCGTAAACGTTTAATTCGATTCCGCCACCAAGGTTAAATTCTGTAACGTATGCCGACCTTTTCAAGTCTGTTTAAGGGAACCGACGCCAAGTATAAAGTTGGTCCTCACGAAAATGCATGTTTCGGTAAACTCTCAATGTGGGCACCGACGTGTTAAATTAGTATGTGTGTACCAAGACAAAAATAAAAGCTAGCGCGTACGAACTAGGAATTTCTTGATCACACTTTATTGGCGTAATGATCTTCGATTTGTTTTGACGTCATGTTTCAGTTATAGATCGATCGGGAAGTGTGCCTTCGTGATTGGCTAGCTAACACAATGATTGTTCTACATATATATATATATATATATATATATAATAATATATATATATATATATATATATATTGCCGAAAACGTTTACTGTTACATGTCGTCTGCAGTGATGCATGTTTCCTATTTAACGGCCGGTTACTCTCGTTGAAATGATATTTAAACGCACTTTTACCTAATTACATTTCTACGCTAGCCAGGTTAGATTAAAAGCGCTTTACGTACACAGTTGCAGTGCATGCATATTTACCCGAACTCTCTAATTATTCTACAATAGTATACACTCGGCATTGATAACGTATCAGGCTACAGCTCGATTTTGCAAGCACTCTATACCGTTGTCCGTACGGGCTCTGCGACAGCTGGCTAGCCAAGCTTCTCGTATTGGTGAATGAGATAGGGTATTCTGCCCATGCGATTAAGTGTGTCACACGTTTTCGCCACGCTGTTATTAAGAGAGCTCGGCCCACAGCTAAACACACCGACTTTCGGTACCTGAAAAAGACCGCAAAACATGTTTAATGCGACGTGGGTGGCAATCGAGCGTGACACCCGGGTACGTGACAGTGCCGGCGGCCGTACACACTAGGTATTGTAGGTGCCGATAACAGCTAGGTTAATTTGTAACTTTTCTCAAAAATTAAAAAGAATGGGGCTCTTTACTAAACTCTAACATATGCAATAATAATAATAATAATAATAATAATAATGAGTCATAAATATATACAGTCGATAAACACAACACCATCAGCCACCTGCTCTACATGGATGACCTTAAACTGTTCACCAAGAACGAATATGAGCTGGAGCAGGCCTTGGTAACAGTTAAGCATTCAGTGATGACATCAAAATGCAGTTCGGCTTGGAAAAGTGTGCAACCGCAATCTTAAAAAGTGGTAAGCTAGTAAAAAGCTTGATGAGAAGACGGCCCTACAAAGTCTGAACCAAGAGGACACCTACAAATATCTTGGTGTAGACGAAAGGGATGGTATTCAGCATGCAAAGATGAAGGAGAACATTGCTAAGGAGTACTATCGCCGAGTTCGCCTAGTTCTCAAGTCTGAGCTCTGCTCAAAAATAAGATAACAGCGATCAATAGCCTGGCACTCCCAGTCCCCGTGTACAGCTTCGGGGTGATCAACTAGTTGCGATCAGATATCGAAAAGATGGATCGCAAGACAAGAAAGCTACTAACCATGCATGCACGGTCTCCATTACCTAAAAGCGGATGTATAGCGACTGTACATCAAGAGGCAAAATGGTGGTCGTGGTCTCATTGAACTGATGTCTGCGTACAACACTGCCATTGTAGGTCTAGGCGACTACATCGAGCTTAAAGCCCGGCGCACACGTGAGTTATTTTACTCAAGTAAACGTCACTGTGCGGCGTATTTTCGTTGAGTAATTTGACGCATGCGTCATTTTACTCAGGTGTGCGGCGGACTTTCGTTGAGTAATTTGACTCATGCGTCATTTTACTTGAGTAAAATAACTCACGTGTGCGCCGGGCTTAAGGAAGACAAATTTACAAAGCTTATCAAAATCCATCAGTCTGGAAAAAAATCAAAGCACGCTCTCTTACGCGAGATTAAATAAATCAAAGCCAAATACTTGTCTCCTTAGCCCACCAGCCAATCCTCAACAAAGCAGAGACTGAAGGCCAATATAGAAGCAGCGAAGATCGAGGTATTGAAAAACAAGCCTTTGCATGGAAGATTCTACAAGAGCCTCGACAGGCCATTTGTCGACAAGACTGCAAGCGTTGCCTGGCTGAGTAGTTCCGGGCTCAAGCGGGAGACAGAAAACCTGATCAGTGCAGCCCAAGACCAAGCACTCAACATCAGATACCATCAACGCAACAACCTCAAGCAACAGGTCAACAGCAAGTGCAGAATGTGCAGCAAAGCAGAAGAGACCATCAGCCACATCATCGCCGGATGCACAGTGCTGGCCCCAGCCGAGTACATAAATCGCCATAACAAGGTAGCCAGCTATCTGCCCTGGTCAATCTGCAGTGAACTTGGTGAGCAAGTACCCGACAAGTGGTATGAACATACTCCGAGACCAGTTACCAACATCGGAGATACTACCATAATGTGGGATATGGCCGTGCAGACAGTTCGCACGATACATGCAAACCGCCGTGATATAGTGCTCCACAACAAGAAAGAAAAACGATGCCTGCTGATTGACGTAGCCGTACCAGATGATACTAACATCATGGTGAAGGAAAGAGACAAACTCACCAAGTACAAAGATCTGGAGATCGAAATTAGGAGGATGTGGAATACTAAGACGAGAATTGTATCAGTGGTGGTTGGAGCCCTTGGCTCTATAAAGAATGGTTTTGAGAAGAACCTTAAGGAACTCCCTGGCCACCACACTGCCCAAGAAGTGCAGAAAATCGCACTACTGGGAACAGCACATATCCTGCGAAAAATTATTGATTGAATCCCTATGTCCCAGGTTGGGACAGGGTCAACCCAGAAGCCACCCGCTAATGCCGTGATCCACTTTGGAAATAATAATGATAATAGTAATAATGATAATAATAATAATAATGTTAAAATTGTTATTATACTTCTTCACTAGCGTCATTACCATTATCATCATCATCATCATCATCATCATCATCATCATCATCATCACATGCTGTTATTAAGCTGTACTGCTCTACCCGCATCACTACCACAACAACTGCATCGACTGAGTTCTCTTGGGCCAGTTGTCAGAAACATTGTACTAATATTACTGCTGAGGTAATATTTTTGACCAATGATTACGCTAGGGGTGTTAAAGTGATTACGTCACCGTAAATAGTAAACATGAAAAAAATATTTCCACTTTTTCACAAAATTTAAGTAATTTTGTTAACTTTTTATGGTTAAATTGCTGCATTATACTTCCTATTTTACTATATTGTTCGATGTAAACAAACACTCGTGACTCATACATAGCCCATAGCAAGCAACTAATGTCAGGATCATAATATCAAATCATCCAGGTTTTTTGGATTTTTAACTAGTTAAGAAACAATCTTATCGGGTAAGAATTTGACGATACATTTAGTCCCGTTAGTACTTACTTTTAATGTAAAAAAATGGCAACAAATTGTTTACAAAATACATCATAGAAAATTCGTGACGTAGTCAATTTAATAGAAACGCATCGCAGTTACGAGAAAACTTACGATAACAGGAACATGGTAATATGCTGCCGCAAGCTGCTGATTGGTAAGTAATCGATCACAAAACTATTGTACATGACGGGAATGTATACATATAATAATAGTTAATCACGCATAAATACTAATTGATGAAAGAAGCGGCATGATCACGTTTTTATTCAGCACTGCAAGACATTATTCAGCACAGAAACACAAGACATGAGCGGCATGGCTCATCAAAATATCAAAAATAATAGAAAAATCGCCTTTTGGTAATCGCTGGGGAGACAACTTCTGACAAGTAGTGTTTCAGAAGTGTTTTTAATAAAAAACGTAAATTTTACTAATCGATATGAAATATAATAGCAATAAAATTGTAATTTGTTGTGGAATTGTGATCTTTTCATCGTAGCTTAATAATCACGAAGAAGTCTAGCATATCGTATAGTTATCCGAAAACCTGCCTGGATTCCGCATTCTTGTAACTTTACAAGGTTTCTATCAACGTTAAAGGTCGATGAACGGTGAATGATAAGACTAATGTTAAGACCTCCGGCAGTGTGTACATACCATTAGGTGCGTCCTTTGTATGCTGGAGAACAAAGCGGAGAAGTTTGGCCTTCCGAAATGTGTAAATCCACGTAGACCAGTAAACATGCTGCGACTGGAGAAACGCTGGAAATGCTTCTCGCAGATGTACTGCGAGCGAAACAGGAGAGACACTGTTACACGCTGAGTACGTATACTGCGGAGGATTGCAAGAGAAAGAGTATTATGTATAAAAATTTCTGTTAGCCTAACATATGTTATGAGTTTACCATACACATTTATTTTACATTTTACATATTAGATGTCATACGAGACTATTGTGAGAAGAATATGAGATATATATCTTTATATAATTGCGTGCGCCTATTGCGTAGGCGATAATGTAAGTAATTAACGCAGAGAGTAAGGAGAGATGCAGAGATACGCTTAGGGTTAACATAAGGAAGTAACACACCCAACTAGAAAGGGGGAGAGAAGCAAGAGGTTCAGTGCCCATAAAGCTACGTATTACTGCGGATAGCATTGACCTGATAATATCTACGCAATGTAATCTATTATAAGACTCCGTGTACAAGTGACAGTTAAATATACTAGTCGCGTACGCGCGATGTGTAAAATTCAAACATGGCAAATCCTCCTCGGGTAGACGCGAGCAATATGTGTCATGAGGTATACGAGTCTGGACGGTAAAAACTGCAAACTACTTACCAACATGCTAGTGCGGATGTCAAAGTTCTGCACAAACTCGGTGATGAAGATTCGAAGCTTTATGATGTTCTGTTTGTCGACGTCTTCGATTTCTCGCAGCATGTCTATTAACCACTCGAACTGACGATGGCTTTGCGCTATCCAGATGAAGTACACCTGAATAGAAGCAATAAATCAAGACCAACCGAACGTGAACAACGGAGTACAATTTGCAGAACTGTAAAAAAAAAACGTAGGTACGTTAGAGTAAATTATTCAAGATATACATGGTTCACATGCGGACAACTCCAGTGGCAAGAGCACATGCAGTAGTAATATCAACATTAGGATAATTTCCTCATGAACCCTGCTTGGACTGTAGATATATCCGTTTATAGAACACGTTGAAAATAGAAATCCGTACCTTTTTACAGGCGACGCCGATATTCTGGCTGGTTCTTTCGGCAAGATCCTTTAGCACCGAGACGAAAGGTATGACGCCATTACCGCCACCTATCAAGATGGTCACTTCATATTTGTCCCAGTCTTGTGTACCCTCTCCGTACGGACCATCGATATAGAGCTGTATAAATGCCAAACAAAATTGAATCATCTCAACCAGTAGGTTATCGCGTATTAGCGAAACTATTGCATAAATATGGAAAAGATATTCGTGGCGTTGACGAAGGCCCTCGTTTTATTAACAGATCTATTTACTATAATTCGATTGGTTGGTAGAACGTCACTCATATATGTCTAGAAAGTTGTTATTAGTCCATGATGGCGAGGTCTCGTGCATTTTATCATATAACTTATACTATAGGCTAACATTAACTTATTTCATAAATTAGTACGTTTTTTTAGCATTACACATCACTTGAGACTATAGTATATGTTCCATAAATCGAAAAACTGTAAAAACGTCACTAAGTTTATTTTGAATGGAATGTGTGAAAGTCGAATCCGAAATTGACACACAACGACGTGAAAATGGTTGCCGTGGTGTGATGTAGGGCCTACATGCCTAAACATATTTGGTGGATAACTGGTTTAAGCAGAAGATAACATATTATTATTATTAACATATTATTAACACATTATATGTTAGGATGTCATTCTGTTTTTAATTAACAATGAAGCGACGCGTTGCGCACTTTCTAACTGCGATCTATCATTGACTTTAGCGGAAGTTGCGAGCTCACATACGATTCGTCAACCGTTTACACGATGCCTGCGGCTTAATTAATCACCCGACAAATGTACACGTACAGTTGGATAGGGTCCTCTGCCGATGTTTGTGGGGTCGAACACCTCCCGTAGCTTCCACGTCCACGGTCCCACGGCACGCACGTGTACGGACAAGGTGTCCTCGTATGGAGCGGACGTGAGTGTGAATGGGTGGTACTCGCTCGGAGCGTACGAAGAACATGCAATTCGTACCCACTGACCAGAATGATAGTCAAAGTTCCTTGGTCGGTGAAATATAAGATGTGTTACGTCTGCAAGCACGAATGGTGAGAGTGGTTACCGAGCTTGCGGTTGTATTCGGCACTGTGTCACCATTAGATATATGCTGCCATTGCTATATGTGTCCTTAAAAGATCTTACGCCCATTTACCACTCCCAATACCTATAGCTATGCCAAACTATTTATATACAACACCTTGAGGATAATCAAGTCTTGTCAGTATACAAAATAAATGCCAAAATTGTCTCACTGACAAAAAGTCGTCATCATATTGTATAAGGTGACCCCTTCGGTTAAAGTCCACTTTTCAGCCCAAGGTCAACAGACAGCAATTCTCTTTTTTTAGTTCTGTATGATTAAGGATGTATTACTTTGTAATACTAGCTAATATACATAGCTAACACATGTATAGTAGGTTGCCGGTAGCAAACATATTTGATTGGAGAATTCCAAACCTCACACCGCCTCGGTGAACATTATATATATACATTTAACGTACTTTACGACTGAAACTACAATTTTAAAATTAAGCCTACCCGATGGAAGCACTTCGGCTTTCAATAATGGAATTTCCATCATTTGTCGCCTAACATTTGTTAGCTTGTCGAAAACAAACAGAATCGCCGGGCCAACGAAGAAATAGAAGAACCGCGGCTCCTGAAAGACAAAGTAGAATGGTAGAGTAATTAGCAGTACACCTGATGGGAAAAATTGCAATATTGTGATAACTGTGCACTAGCTGCGTGACAGCTAGGTTACGTGCATGGTGCCGTTACAATGATTCCGGGTATAATTAAGCAAAGCATATAGGCCGGCAGGACAGGTATATGTAATTAGAGATAGCTATAGTAGTAGGACACAACAACCCTGTGTTATAATGATATTGTAACACAAATGTAATCTCGTGACATCTCCGTGTGTTACTATATCGGGTGATAAATGGCAGCTATAGTGAACAAACATAATATCATTACTAAAAATGCAAAGCTTACAGCCCATTAAATATTGCACATTTCAAAATCTTTAATTTGTTAAAACTTGCTATTAAAATACATGTGCTTAATGTCTGTTACATTTTAGTATTTTACTTCCGTTAACAATAAATATGCGCTTATATCTTTGTTGTATAATTTTTAGTTTTGCAACGAATTTCTGACAACATATAGCCACTGGCAGCAAGAACCAGTCCGCACATGCAGCTACAGCACACACGCGGCCATTGACTATATATATACTACATAGCAGTATATATATAGTCAATGGCCGCGTGTGTGCTGTAGCTGCAGGTGCGGACTGGTTCTTGCTGCCAGTGCATATAGCATGCTTAATTAAGCCCGCCGCACACGCTGTGGAACTTGCTGTGCCATCGCGTGTGCGGATGCAAAATCCCTCGATCTGGATTGTGTGGAAAATATCACACATGTTTAATTTTTTTCCACGTGTGGAAGTTTGAACAGCGTGTGCGGAGTGGATGTGTAAATTTCCACACCAAATTCGCATTGTTTGCTTGATTGTTCGCTTGGACGCGATTGGGTGTGGAAATTTACATTTCTCTTGGTTTTCTATGCTAGTGTGTGGCTGGCCGGCTAGTACGGGGCGCCATGCAGGACAAGCATTTTTGTACCTACAAACTTGACAAAAATGAGTTTTGTGAACACAAAACTCAATTCTGTCAATCCTGTCCCACAAAACTCAATTTTGTGAACACAAAACTCAATTCTGTCAATCCTGTCCCACAAAACTCAATTGTGTGAACACAAAACTCAATTCTGTCAATCCTGTCCCACAAAACTCAATTTGTAAAAAAAATCAATCTGTCGAACCCGTTTCCACAAAACATCGTTTGTGCGCCAAATATGCACACGCATGTAAGAAGTGCTACCATTGCTGAATCAGAAACTACTGCCTGAGAAATGTCGTCCATGGTCGCCATCCTTTTGTTTCTTCTTACTGCAATGGTAGCCCTCTTACATGCGTGTGCCAATTGGCAACAAAATCGAGTTCCAATCCGTTCACAAATAAACTCAATTCTGTCATCCTGTTCCACAAGACTCAATTTTGTAACCAAATAACTCAATTCTTCAATCCTACCTTACAAACACTCACAGTTTGTAAACACAAAAACTCAAAATCTGTCGACCGGTTCCACTAAAACTCGATTTGTTGTGCCCAAATATGGCACCACGCAACTGTAAACGAATGGCTAACATTGTACAGAAAAACATCTTACATGCGTTGCTTAATATTTTGGCAACAAAACGAAGTTTTGTGTTCACAAAATTGAGTTTTGTGGGACAGGATTGACAGAATTGAGTTTTGTGTTCACAAAATTGAGTTTTGTGGGACAGGATTGACAGAATTGAATTTTGTGTTCACAAAATTGACTTTTGTGAGACAGAATTGAGTTTTGTGCACAAAAGGGAGTTTTGTAAGACAGAATTGAGCCCTGTCCTGCATGGCGCCCCGTAGCTAGGAGTTAACTGTAGATTTTTAGTGATGATATATGTTTTGGGACAAACACCTGTCGCTGCGAGAGTAGGCCTAGTAAGTTGTATGTCATAGCAAATAGCTTGGTATTTGTATCTAAGTGATGTTTACCTGTGTCAACCGCGCAGAACTGTGAATGATGATCAGGGCGTACAGCACGATGTACAGATGATGGGTGACCCAAAACGAGTTGAACAGATGTCTGCGTGCCGTACGCGAGGCGTACGTGTACATGATACACATGATGATATAGAGCAACACACCAGTGATTCCTGCACAACAAGGCCACATTCACATTACAACGCTTCATTTCAGATGCCGGTAGGGCAAGGCAACAGTGAGTTTAAGTGAACGGGAATCGGCTTTACACCTCTTACTCATGCTCGCATTTGTGGCAGCGCGCTTACCGCCTATGCTTAATAGGAATTTCGTGGGGCCTCGCAACCGTCACCTCACAGCAAATGTTAGTATATATTCACGAGCTTGCGCAAGCAATTTAAGCGCATTCATCGGACTTAATGATTGATCATTTATGCGCTCTTGATAACCCCTGCGTGAGGTGGGTCAGCTGTCACATATATGGACATGTACTCTTGGCGCCAAAAATGTCTATTCGTGTACATCCACACAAAGATATTTGCGGTTGTATTAGTCGCTCGAAATGAAATATTAAAATAAAGACATTTCATATAAATCAAAAAGAGGTTACACTTCCAACGCCGATTGCGCCGTCATACGCGTTGATATGCGTCATTAATATGCTACCAATGGTCACCTGGAACGGTTTTGTAGAACCAGTAGTCAAATTTCGGCATGGCTTCTGATTCGAAGTGCAGCTCCGAGAAGATGCACTTCAGGTAGTGAATCGGCTGCGTTGACACGGCGTAGAAGTTGATGGCATGTCCGATACAATGAATAACTGCATCAAAACCAGACAACAGTTCACTCTACTCTATAGTTGTCCGTTACTGGAATATGCTATAGGTAAATGTACTGTTAGACATTTTAATTTAATGCGCGTGTTTAATCATGCAAAAGGAGCAGAGGACGGGGAACCGACGTGAAAGGGGATATAAAGCCGTCTACTGCCAAATAACGTTAGACATCGATGTTCAATATGTATTTTTGTCACCGAGAGCCACATCAATTCGCGCTTCTGAAATCCTGATAATGCAGCAAGTAACATTGCAACTACAGGCACTTGGGACAGAGTCAGTAAAAACTGAGAATAATATATGAACGCACATTCACAAATACTACCGTACGGTGTATCTCTCAATTACAGTTCCACTGTTGCGTCACTGTATATCAACTTTCCTTCATAAAAACTAACGCCGAACGCTCCCGCACTCGCCGCTGCGAGTGTGCTGTGGCGCCATGATAATATATATATAAAGTTATATATATTATTATATATAATTATTATATATATACTTATATATAATGCGGCTATTCCACATAAACTATTTCATCGCGAGCTCATAATAACAAAAGATAATAAAGTGACATTATTAGGCATTGGTTTTATCTCTGTAACTATTTCACATTACGCGGTTGGGTGCAAATGTAATTAGATCATATAAAATAATGTCTGCGTTACGTGAAGCCAATCGGTGAAACGTTTAGTCAGCAAAACTGTTATAGGGTGGCGCCACTGTACTACGACTCGTTTTCTAACCATCGTAGCGTTTGAATAATGTTCACTGATCTTACCTCGGTGTTATTTTGTGATTTCACCGCACAGCAGGGCGAGACACGGACACGAAACGGTCCGGTCGCAACCAACTTGCAAGCTCTTAGTACATTGTTGCTTAACTGAAACCGCCTACTACGTTAGACTAGCGATTAGGAAGATGCGACGATCGTACCAGTAAACGCGAGGGCTGTCCAGGCGCATGTTCGGTGAAAGTCGATGGCAGACTCAAACGGAACGTATTTCTCTAGCACCGTCTGCTTCAGCCTTTCGATGGTGTTTCGACACGACGTTAGTAAGATCATGGCGAACGAAAACGACATTACAGCGCCTGCACCACTGGTGATGCTGATTCCGAAGCCCATGACCTTCCTCAGACCGTTGTGTTCATTTTCGTAGGCGTAGTCTGCAGAAGAATTCGGACTATTAATGTGCATTGTAAAAGTATGCTATGTATTGTATATGATAGATAATTGCCTAAATAAAAAAAATAAATCTACTCACTGTGAATTTTGGAGTGCAAATTGGCGAAATATTCATATTGTCTCTCCTCACCAAACATACTAAAATAATTGTGCAACGGAACATAGACGTGTGTGACGGTATTGTAATTATAGACAGAGAGTATTAGAACCTAATAAACTCTGACACACACAAAAAATACGAATCACTTACGGGCGGCTCGTTCGATGAACAGGCCGATTACAATCAGATAAAAAATGACGAGGTAAAATATTTGCAGGTGGTGGTCTTCCATGTATTCGGACAGCTGACTGAGCTTCATCGTCATCCACGACCGCGGTGTCAGATCCTCGCGAATCGCACTCGAACTATCGCTCGCTGTGCTGAGAGTCCGACCAATCGCAGCAACTACGGAAAGCACAAAACGAGAGCGTGATTGCGGCTGGACGTTCGCAATGACTACAGCATCAACTTAACCATCTTATTTGAGTGTTATATAAATTATAATCATTAGTCAAGATTCTGTACCCAATAGACGTTTCTGATCAACTCATCACTAATTCGGCGTCATAATAATTTGTATTGCTGCTGCTGATGTTGTTGCGATTGTTGTTGTTGTTGTTGTTGTTGTTGTTGTTGTTGTTGTTATTGTTGTTTTTTGTTGTTGTTGTTTATAACCACATGTTATCTCTCCCACCGGTATTCACCTCGCTCACTGTCCGTGCCAGTGCCCAGAAGTTCGTCCCTATAGTTCTGTAGCAAATAGTTGAAGTCTTCATAGGTGAGCTCCTCTTTATCCTGAAAGCCGCAGCTAGCGAATATGGAGAGTAGCAGTTTGTCTATCTCTTCTGCCTTTATTTCGGCTCGTGAGATTTCTGCCAACGACCTGCGTGTAACAATAAACGTCAATGTACCGATCAATTAAGCAGAAATTAGTCACAATGTGCAATGTTAGATATAACATCAACTTCCTGTTGCAGAGCTCCGAGTAGCAAAGGTTAATAAAAAATAACCGAATACAATCACTACGCGAAGTTAGCCACTAAATTAGTTGAGAAATGTTTTCCGTGTATGCACATTAAGAAAGGTCTTATTTAGGTTGTTTTATTAATCTAGTGGGATTTCATGCAGAATTCTAGCTGTGCGTAACGTCGTAAAGTAGCATACCGGAAATCTACGTTATCTATAAACACATCGTATTTAAATGCATGAGATACCCAAAGTAGTACCTTAGCATCATAGAGAACTCTTCTCTATCGAGATAACCGCTGTTATCTATGTCATACATATCGAACATGATCCTGGTCTTGTCGTCCAGTGTTCCTGGATAACACACAACCGTACACATACAGATTATCTTGAGAGTCGCCCTTGTAAGGAAGGAATTAAGGAATGCTATACGAATCAACCTCATTATTATAGGTGTACAATGTGCATACCCTTCGCGAAACGCTTTTTCAGGTGTTGTATTTATACTAATAATTAAACCGGATAAAAAGGCAACGTTATGATTAAAAGACTATTATATTATATAGACTATAATATAGACAATATATTACGCACAGCGATATATACGTCATCAAACTAATCGTTCTGGTGGAGTTAGTCATGAGCCAGTAGACTGTGGACATAGCGAGTGACTACACGGTTCCTGTAGCTAGACTGACCTTTTGAGAAGAGAAGTATCATATCGAGAAACTCTCGGAAGGATATCAATCCGTTGTGGTCCTTATCGACGACATTGAACATGTGATCCATGAAAGAGGATTCTGGCTTCAGACCCAACGCCTCAGCAAACTCAGCCTTTGTCAACTCTGTCATTATGACCTCTCGTGCAGACGTTCCCTTGACGACGCGCCCTTGCACAAGACAGAACGCCTACCGGAATGCAATATATTTGTGAATTGTATGGGATGTAGCGATAACAAGATTAAAGTGCATTCGCCATCGCGTAACGTTATTTTTAGTTAGTCACATATTAAAACAAATTGCTTAAATATTGCCAAATATATTAAGCATACAAAAATAAACAGTAAACTTTGAAAAAAAGCAGTATCTAGATGATTAGGGGAAATTTAATGTGAAACCAATTTGCGAACAGTCTGGAAATATTTCACGGGTTCATACCTGATCAAAGACTGATTTGAAAAATCTGTTCAGATGTTTTTGCCGCTGGGCTTTCGTCTTTGCTGCGTAGTAAATCTTCTTGGAGTTGAGACTAATCTTAATTAAAGGCACTCTGTTCTTCTTCATCATTGCTTCTAGCTGGGTTACAAAATTATGGCGTTGATCTATGCTATCAAACTGAAGGATCTGTACAAGAGTAAAGCAAGATAATCTAGATTTAAAGGTGATATAAGACGCACGCACATATCAAATACACTGTGTGATACATAACACAATAGATCACTGTAATTTTTTTATGGCGTCGTGTGAAAACATGAATTCTATGTGTAAAGCATAACAGCGATGTTGTTATAGTGTACATCAAGATTTTCATTGGTTTTGGTATTAAAACATTTTTATTATGATTACTCACATTGTGTGTTCTCTCAAAAGAAGGGTGTGTACAAAAAACCAGGGGAGGAGACTGTACGGAAGGGAATAGTAACATAGAGGGGACGAGAAATAACGTGAGAAGTGTGTTTCTGCGGGAGGCGAGTTGGGTTCAGGCGCTTGAAAACCGGCAACATTCGAGTTTCAACGAAATAGGTACACGCGCCTGTGGAGTTGTTCATCGGAGTAGCCGCGCATGCGCAAGGGCAGAGCAAATACAAGCGATCGCTTACCAAGTCGTATTCGCACGGGTTAGCGATGAGTATGATCGGTGGGTTGCGGATGTCGTCCGATATTTCTAGCACGACCTGTCGCATGACCTTGACGTCAAACTCTCGCAGCACCTGCGCCGTCCGGCCGAGCACGCGGATCTTGGGCACGTCCGGTCCCAGCTTAATCTGCACTTTGCGCAATTCGTTCTCTTGCACGCGCTCGTATGCTGTAAGGTAGAACGATGCGCTACGAAACACTGTCGATTATTATTATTAATATTATTATTATTATTATTATTTTCATCATCATCATCATCATCATCATCATCATCATCATCATCATCATCATCAGGCCTTTGTACGAAAAAAAAGACGGTAACAGAAGACAATCCCAATGTAGACAAGCAAGAAGGCTCACCAAATACACCTATCTCGATACCGAATATGTCAAGAAAACAAAAGAAACACAACACAGCCAACAAGAGAGCTTACCAAGTATGCCTTTATCTACCTTGACCATGTCAAGAGGCCACGGTGCCGCTGCAACAGATCGCAGACCGGACTTCAACTCGCCCTGTCCCTTCGTCTCAGCGCGGTTCCTCTTGTATTGTCGTATGCGCACCGTTATAAACCCGATAGCAATGCACACTGCAAAGAAATTGGATGTGCAATGTAATGACAACTGCCATATGATACGTAATATATATGTATTATATATATATATATATATATATATATATATATATATATATATATATAAGATATATATAGATAGATATATAGAGTGGTAGGAGGAGATTCGAAGGTGTGTACGGTGTGCTCATACGTGTGTGTGTGTGTGGTGTGTGTGTGTGTGTAGTGTGTGTGTGTGTGTGTGTGTTGTGTGTGTGTGTGTGGGTGTGTGTGTGTGTGTGTGTGTGCGCGAGCGGGCGTGTGCGTGTGCGCGTGTGTGCATGAAACCAATGTTTACTTTGGCTGGCGAAATTGTGGTTAATTACACGTATTTGATGATGTTCCCACGTCTCTCGCCACAATAGGCCTCTCCATAAACACTCACTGGTCGGCTATATAGCGTAGCAGTACGCCCCTGGTGTTTTTACAGTTTTCATTAAAAAACGCATCTAATTTGAAACATATATAGAAAATTAATGTACGCAATTTAATTAGGGCTATATTTTAAAATGCACTTAGCATTATATTAGGTACGGGCATCGGGTTTGAAATCAACATTAGTGCAACACCAATTAGCATTAGCATTTAGTGCTGGACAACGCTTTTGTACCTAATATAATACGATACGTAGGCAGTAATTCTTGAGAACAGCGAGCTCACCAACTGGTATTAGTCCGGCGCAGATGAACGTAATAATGTAAGTCATCTCGCTACCGCTAAAGAAATCGTAACGACTTCTGTCTGAGCACGGATTCAACCAGCTGCTCTTTAACTGATGTTCTTGCCGGCAGGGGGCATCTGAAATTCGTAATTGGCATGTTATATTATGTTATATATCATATTGTTATATTATATTATATTATATTATATTATATTATATTATATTATATTATATTATATTATATTATATTATATTATATTATATTATATTATATTATAAATTATATTATATATGTCTTGTCACTGTATTTGACTGGTAAAGTTTTGAATAATTTGGATAACGAGACTTGTATTTTAACAATGAATGTGAACAATAATGTACTTACCGTCAGCGAGGAAGAAAACATCTTTTTGTATCTGAGACGTTGTGATATTGGTAACCTTCGTGATGATGTCATACAATGTAAAAGATTTGATTTCGGCGATCTCCTCTGCGGTAAATAATCTATAAAATGCAAAAATATTTACATAAGGCGGGTTCCATGCGATATTTACAATGACTCAACATATAACGCCGTGACGTAAAAAAACAATACTAACAACGAACGAATATATAACACCTTGGAAATCGGATTCTTCTTCCATGGCAAATAATATTGCATATTGCCGAACTAAACTAAGGACATAATGTGCTCGAAACCAAAACAATGTACGTGTAATAGCAAAAGTTTATTAAACTGCTAATATTACTCCAATTGCGTCATATTGATTAGACGATAGCAACAGTTTAGAATATGCCGAATATGAAATTAATATTTTTCACTGTCTGTAATAATGCAATGAATCACATAATAATTACGATACTAGTTACCGTAAAAATCTTACTCGTTCTCGGTATTTTCGAACCAAAACCTATCCGAATCTCTCAGTCGCTTAAAATGATCCTTGATAATCGCTTTGAAGGTCGGACCAGGTCCGTAAGGGGTCGACTCTAACATTCCAACAGGAAATAAATCCAAGTTGTTGATGTCGTTGTCATAGAGCTCAGCTATTTGCTTCACTTTTGTGTTGACCTAAATTGATGGGGATATTATATACACGAGACTTCGGTTACAAACATAATTTTTGTAGACGTAATACATGAAATTCGCGTTTTCACCATAGATTCACGCTACTAATTTTGTGATACAGCGTTGTATAAACTAACATAACGTCAATCTATGAATGCCTCTAAATTATTTCCAGCAAGTGACTTTCCGCAATGAGTAATTCTATTCTAGCAGGTCTTAATGTTTATGTAAACGATTCAAAAAGCACAACAAAATTTTCTGCTACCTCTGCTACAAACCTAACGCAAGCTTAACTATACAGAAAACGTACACAGACACGCGTACTAATCTATTAATAATAATAATAATAATAATATTATTATTATTATTATTATTTTATATTTTTGATCATATTTATTAATCATTAATTATTATCATTATAAACATCTCCATATCCCGTATAATATACAAACACGTACGTCTGAGCCGTCTCTGTGGTACATTGTAGGGTTGATCTGATTCCAGGCTACTACTCGATCTAGGTCGAACATCTCTCGCACGGTATTGTAATCGGGGATACCGTTGTCGCGTCCGCGCATGATATTTAACGCCCCCAGATCTTGCGGCGAATACTCGAGAGGACCGAACAAGTTCTCTGCAAGAAGATCAAATGTTGTCCAGCATTCAATTGCCATTGTCATAGCCCGCGTAAGACCTTGTGACAAGGACTTGAGCGCATGAATATTGGGAAACAGCTCGCTCACATACACGTTACCAGTAGTGAAGCTGGATGTGCATAGAGAGGCATGGTTTGTTTCGCTTAGTGTCAAACGACAGCTCGGCTATACCTCTCAGATCGCTGATGACAGTGGCATCTTCCCTTTCCGCAATCTGCGACGTCATTCCTAAAATGATCTCATCGATGCCGTATTTCTGCACGTATTTCTGCGCCTCCCACCACGTATTGCACAGCCGCTCGGCCGGATAGCCTTTATCCGTCTTTCTAAAGTGACATCGGTTGCCTTCGTAATACCTGTTCGTGTATACGAGAAGAGCATTAGCGGACCAGCAGGTGGCGCCTGTTGAGGGACGACGCAATCGATGTTCGCTGCATGTTCGTGTACACTGGCGCCATCTACTATATGCGGAATTGTTCACAGAATATTGCAAGTACCGGCACAAAAAACGACATGTGGTGCGTGTCAAATCTCGCTCTGGTAGGGGGGTCACAGGACAGTTACTTGTAGGCACGAAAAACTGACATGAAAGATTTTGCGGAGAAAATTCTTATAATACAGTGAATTCTATTTGAGACTGCGTTCGCCGGCATTGTAAAACATTTATCGAGCGCGGAAGCGCTTAAATTTAGCACGGGCTCGAATGAAAACATAACTGAGTTCGCACACTGAATTTTTCAGTATAGTTTTTAGTTCATTTGTCACGGATCGAGTGCGTGTATATAGCGTACATCCATTATTTGTTTTATATTTATCCGCAATGCGAGAACGTCAGAATTAATAAAGTCCAAGTACCTAACGTAGACTTACGCGATGTACATGCCCGGCGGGATCTGTGTGTGCCCATAGCGAAATGCGGCAGCCTCAAATACGTGTGTTGTTCCAGGATGAATATCTGGATCATAGCCTTCAAAATAAAATTGAACGAATAGGGGCTTAGCTCCCAACATAAGCAACATGTCGGTGCTTCGCCGCACTGTTTCCATTTTAGCCGATGACTTTGGTATAGGAGATACTAAAGTAGAATTCTTCAGTCTGTGGTTACCGGACATATGACAAAGGGCTAACCCATGCGCCAAATAAATTACTGGTGATTTTCGATTATATTTTTTTTAAATCTAATTTGCATGCTTTTTCCTGTGTAAATACCTTTATATGGAAGCAGTTCTTCATTAATAAACGACGGTAGATAATCATAAATAATGATTTTCTGAAATATAAAAGATAATTATTAGGACGGTTACATACTGCAATTAATTGCATTAATTTCATTATATATTAATAGGCAAAATCAGTCAACCAATAGATCGATCGATCGATCGATCACACTCTACGACAACTAGATTGGATAGTAAATGTGCACCATACTTGTAGTGTCGCTATGTTGAAACGACGGGCCCTATTAAAGATGTCATTGTCAGTCCAACTCGGATGTTGCCGTTTGATGCGTTCTGCCAGGTAGTTGTGCCAGCGAAAGAATAGCAGTCCAAAGACTAGAGTTGCTGGATGCTGGTTAAGACGGCTGTCGCCCATAGCTAAAAATTATAATCATATGTAAATTATTAAGAATATTGTCGTGTGCGTGCGTGTGTGCATAATGCGTGGGTGCGTGTGCATGTGGTTGTGTGTGAACAATTGATTTGCTTAAATCCATTAAGTTACGATTTTTTTATGACTGGAAACGGAAGGAGTGGTTTTTCTATCGCAGGGAAATAATTATTTTAATCCAACTTCTATGTCGCTTACATGAACCTATGAGCCACTATGTGTTTTTTCCTCTAAAAGCGCCCCTTCTAACATTCGGTACCGTATACGGACAATAACATAGGCGAAGAACAATTAATTTATCTCATTGGCCGTGGTTCCAAGGTCTTCTTTGCTAAAACACTTGTTGTTTCCTTATACTAGAGTAAGGTTATTTGAGTTTGAGGTCGCCGCGTGTGTTGCACGACAATGCGCTGGTGACGTGACAGCTTGCTCTATGAAAGTTGCCCGCCGGTGGTGATGCTTGTTTTCAACTTTTCGTATGTTTTTGCGGCAGCCAGCATACACCTACGTCCATGAGACGTCCAACGACAGTCACGTAGCACCACAAAACAAATTAATGGCACTGGGACCCTACTCACAATTGTTCATAATTACCTCTGTTAAGTCCTATTGATAACATCACCCGACTACTCAGGTAGGAAACGATCAAATCTATCGTCAACAATCACGATCGCGTGCACCTCTTTTCCTCTTTATCTATCTATCTATCTATCTATCTGTCTACCCGTCTATCAATCTATCTATCTATCTATCTATTTATCTATTTATCTATCTATCTATCTATATATACATATATATCTATCTATATCTGTCTATCTATCTATCTATCATAACATAGAGGGCGTGCTTTCCGCGCGCTCGCACTCAGTAGGTTTAGGCCTACTCCATATCTGCGACTGGCTTCAGGGGCAGTCAGAGCATAATATGAGGAACGGATTGATTCGAGGATTTGCCGAGCGGCACGTTGCTCACTTACCAAACATGCGCTCGAGCGGCATGACTTTGTGCATGTGCGGTGTCGGCGGGTTGGCGAGCGGAATTCGCTCCGTGTTGTAGAGCGGCAGCGGACCGCGGTTTGTGTTCTCATGAGCGAGCTTTCCGTCACTGAAGCCACGTAGCACGCTGACCCACGCCTCCGACACGCTGTAGATGACGCTACCGTCGATCCAGCCCGTCACCTTGTTCACCTAGAGTTGATCGCATGGCGTTCGCGGATAGGAAGATCGAGCGCATGTGTCGGTGGATACGACTGATATTTAAGATTTTTAAACCTACATTACACGTAGAGGCCTCGGTGGCTCGCCTAAACTTGTCATTTTAAGTTATGGTATAAAGTATAGGGGCTGACACGTGCAAACGCGCGCACGCAATCACGAGTACGCATACCTGTCCGTTAAGCGACGCCGCGAATTTAATGTCATACCATACGCCTATAGTCGCTTTCCCACGTAAATCACTGTAGACGTAGAGCCATCAGCTAATCATTTATGATCAGTAGCACATATAATGTATAGGTTTCACTAAATCAACGATTGTTTTCTAGCAATGAATCATGTTTTAGTTACCATCTCCCGTGGTCGATTTGGAGCTTGTCCAGACATATGCGCATACGGAGCTCGCAGGAATGGCGTGCCCGTGTCGTCCTTACAGTGAGGCTCAGCTTCGTGCTTGCACTTCATCGGTGGAATTTCCTTAATCTCTATTGGGCACGACGCCATATGCATGGTGCTTGTCATGAGGCTCTCAAATGACACGTATTGGCCTGCGGAAATAATAAGAGCAAGTTTCAGTTCAAGTCTAAACTATATAACATAACTACATTGATGGTGACGACGGTGACGACGGGGATGACGGTGACGACGACGATGACGAAAACAAAAACAAATCATGATTTCGCCAGAAATAGCATTTTCCAAGTCAGTCGTTCAGTTTATTTTGCGAATGAACAAAGGAAATGGTACTTAATTTTACTTAATTCGAATATATACGAAATGGATTGATTAGGTAATCCTACCGAAAAACGCTAGAAAAGCAGTCCTATTGAGGTACGAAGGCATGCCGTCATCGCCCGACATCACGACTTGGCTGATAATTCGTGGGTTCGGACGATTCTCCATGACCATCTTATAAACTCCGTCTGCAAACTGCGGCTCTGCTTTGCGTATCAGTGGTGAGCCTGAAAGAAGGAGACGTCTTGTAAGATATTTGGCTCAGCAGCAGACGCGGATATTTACGGATGTTTAACCTACAAAATTAATGCACAAAGATGGTTGTGCATTAGAGATTGCTTAAAGAATTTACGCATATGATAGAATCTATATATACGGGTATATATATATATATATACTATTAAAGTTTTCGTTTAATTAAACAGAACTAGCGTTATAAAATAAATAGTATAAATAATTTAATGATGCTACCGTTTGTTATAGCGGTAATGCTTACTTAGCGATCCCCACGGTGGATGGGCTCTGTTGTTGTACCAGCCATCATACCTTTGCCATTCGTCTTCACATCGTGCAGTACCTGAATAACGATTAGATACGAATGTTTAGCAAAAGGTTCAGATTTGGTTGCTTTCCAGGTCGCATTTCTAGTTACTATAAACGGTTAAATACAAACGATAGAAATTTACACACTTGTAGTCCTGTTATGGTTGATAGACATAGACCTACGCAGACATAGGTCTAAGTCCTGTTATGGAATGTACACTTGAGATCCTGATAATAAAGTTGAAATCTTAAGATTAATAAAAATATCTAACAGAACTATCACATAACAGCTATCAAGAGTGAGTGATTATGATACTGTAAACGTCCGCCTTTTGCACGGAAACAAACACTGGTATGTTGTAAACTTTAAAATATATGCAGATAAAAAATGAACGCCGTCGTGACATGATTGCTCTAGATAACGATGGAACGCTCCGGAAGCAATTCACAGGAAGTAAATTGCATTCCCTCTTTCATAGTCGGGGACGTTTAAAAACAAACAGAAATCATAGTGATGATACATGAAAGGGCTCTTTCGCGTAGTGATTTCCAGAACGTGACGGCAGAATTTAATGTGGCATTCATAGTAACAAGAGATGCCAGCTATAAAAATCGGCCACCGCTCGGCTAGTCATGACGCTGACGTCTTTTTTGTCTATTACGGCTCATGGGTAAATAGCTTTGCTAGTGGTGACGATGCGTGTGCGAAAACGGCGCAGCATTGGTCTAGCTGGTGGCTAGCGTGTGCGTATATGCGTAGGCCTATGCGTATGTGTGCGTGTGCGTGTGCGTGTGCATGTGTATGCCTATATATATATATATATAGATATATTATATATACATACACACACACACATATATATATATATATATATATATATATATATAATAAATCACTATATTAAATCGCGTGCACGTCAGTAGACGACGTACTCAAAATTGCGTGCGAGGCAATGATAAATTTTAGCAGATCCATGCTTGAGCTTTTTTCAAGAACACGGTCAGCGTCATAGGAAATGCTGCGATGACTTCAGCTGACAGGTAATTAATGCATCAGATGAATACTAACGACCTCTAGAATCAAGAATGCGTCGAACAACATTTTTATTTGTTGAAGTTAACATCGTCTCGTGCGAGGTAAGCGTCTACTCGAGGTAATCCGCTGCTACTTAAGCGGCATACTTGAGCACGACAGGGGAGCGAAGGTCGTGTTATAAACGTGACAATATATGCATTGAGCTACTTAAACGCACACAGACAGACACACGCACACAGAGACAAACGCGCGCACACATACACACAGGCGCGCGCCACCCCCCCCCCACACACACACAGAGAGAGAAAGAGAGAGTAAGAGAGGGAGAGACAGAGAGAGAGAGAGAGAGAGAGAGAGAGAGAGAGAGAGAGAGAGAGAGAGAGAGAGAGAGAGAGAGAGAGAGAGAGAGAGAGAGAGAGAGAGAGAGAGAGAGAG